CCCTAAGGATGCTGGATGTCATCCAGTTGCTTTCCACAGAGGAGCTGCTCATTCTCCCTGAGGTCTACAATATCCTGTGGTTTGGTTAACTCTCAGGATGTTCTGCAAAAATAAAAACATTTCGGATGGCCGTGTGGCATACCGGCGTTTCTTTTCAAAAAGAGGGAAAAGAAAGTACACCTGCTTTTTATTTTACAGCTGTCCATTTTTCTCTGTAATAAATGGCTCATTCACCACAGAGAAGGAATGATGCTTTATTGAACAAGGGCAATGATTTTAACGTACGTTCAAATGACGAACTTCATCATGTTGTTAAAATTAGCACTGAGGTGCCTCGTAAAGAGTTGCATGCTACACGGTGTGCTGGACAGGAAATGCAATATCAAAAATAGTTCAACATTATAACAAAAATTCACAAAAGAAGGAATGTTATTTACTTGGGATCCCTGGACATGACGCTATCTCTTCAGTGCTGTATTTTTTCTATCCAATCGAAATAGTACGGTCAGAAGCTAAGAAACATATCTTGAAATATTCTACACCTGACATTTAGTTCCAAATTCTCTTACCCCTTGTTTTGGTCAGATGCTCACAGATAATATATCCTCTGTGGAAATGTCAAGCAGTAATACCACACCAAAGGAATGGCAGCTATGATGCAATCACACCTTGTTAAATAAAAAGAAGTCCAACTAGAGCTTGGGCCATCTGAAAATCTGTAGAAATCTGGCAGGACATCACAAGCCAATTTAAGACTTTTATCCTATTTCAAAAGCCCAAGAAACAAGACTGCTTCCAGAATGCATATGACATGTTTTGCATTGAAAAATTGAAACAACAGTGACATTTACTTCAGAGATTTGTCCAAGGACTTAGGACTGCACAGTGAGAAAATAAGATAAAAAAGTAAATCAACATGACTTGATTTTTGGTGGACAATCTCTTCGACCTGATTACTTTCCTCTCTTATTTTATACACTGGTTTTAGAAAAAATGAAAATATGTGCAGCATTATGATGAAAGAACTGCCTCCTTATGGCCTCATGGCATTTGCTGACTAACAAGCGTTTTATAATAAAAATTTGAGCCCCCAAGAGTGCTGTTTATATTGTTCTTTATATTGCTGCACTGATCAGAGCAGATCAGACAACGTCTTGCAACATATTCCGGTCCGGTGATAAAGATCTGGAGCTGGAATTCTAGATCCAGGATCTGGATTAGCATCACATAGAAGCTGAAAATAGCCCAGCTCTCTGGCTTACTGGTATTGTGTTACTGATCCTGGTCAATATGTTTGTATACCTTCAAAGGTATATGTTCATAATATTATCACTGCATCATGGCATGTGAACTGAGGGTGTAAACTTCTCAGAATCCATCTTGGATCTCTTAAAGAATAGAATATCAAAGCATGTCACTCTATTGGAATCATGTTCCTCTCTGCTGTAATATAGTATGTTAAGACAGGTCCATACACTTGTGGCTATGAATGTTATGTTTAAATATAATAGTTAGCTGCAATAACTGTCTATTGGATTCTTCAATACCACAGCATTCAGTCCCATAGATTGATGCTGGTTTGCAATACAAAGTGACACCAACAGCATGGGACCAATTCCTACATTGGCCAGCGTTACCTTGAAAGAGACTCTTTCTCAACCTCTTGCTTTGCCTGAGGTGTGGTGACCCTCAGGTTAAACCATCACCAGTGATTTCTTTGTAATGAGAGAGCAGCCATGTGATCTGGTAAGACTATGGCAATTTTACCTTCTCCAAACAGTTTCTTATGTTATGGGAGAGACCATAAGCATTGCCTCATTAGGTGAAATACCTTGCTGAATCCAAAACCAACATCAACTGGTTCCTTGGGACCTTCCCATTTCCATACCATGTTTTCAGAGGAGAGATCAGGGACCTGCAAGTCCAGTTACCTTTATGTTTCGGATAATGATCATGGCCATTGACATCCCAAATGAGGACATGTAAAAGAAATCAAGGAAAATTGCATTTCTGTTGCAGTACAGGAGCAGTCCCAGGCTATGAATGTAAAAGGGACATCCTTAGTCATCGCAGTGGTGACCTGGCTGCTGAATCTATTTTTTAAATAAGTTGGAGAGAACATGTTTCTACTTTGAGACACAAGAGGCACACGAGAGCACAATCTCTTTTGCGGACTTGCCAATCATAGCCTGCTAATCCTCTCGAGCTGGAAGACTTAGGAGGGAGGGGTGTGGTTCTTGCTATTCAGGCATAAAAATTGCCTTGCATTGTCGTCATGGCTGGAGCCCAACCTCCTTCCTCCAACTGCAAAGGAAGACTAGCCTCTGAGAGTTGTCAATCAATCGAATGGTGGGCAGCTCCCTGGTCCCATTAGTCTCATCAGGAGCAGTGGCTACTGTATGGATCACAACCAGTCCTCATGACAACATGCTATGATGGAGCTCGGGTTTTCAATTAAATCTGGATTTTCCCATCGTCAGGCCGCCAGACCAGGGTGGGATGAGGAGTGGGAACAAATTGGAGACAATGGGGGTGGAGCCAATGAAAGAGGCTCCCTCTAACTTTGAATGATCAGCAATCTGCTCAATGTTGAAACCTGTCAGGACGTACATTTGGCATGGATCTTTCCCACTGTGGTTAAAATCCAAACAAGAGCTGGAGGGGGTGCATAAGTAGCCATTAACTGGCCACATAAAGGCTTCAACTGGCACACAGGTAGATGGGCCTCCCAGTGCCTTACCCACACTGGTAAAGGTGGGCTAAGTAGGTAGGTGCTGGGAATTGTTCCCCTGACATTATGCTGAACTTTATGGTCACCCACTCTACCTGCCATTCCATCTCAGGTTGTACTATAACCCAGTGAGCATATATCCAGTCCAAAAAATCATTGGGGGCTAGGACCATGTAGCACAGATGATGACATCCAGCTTGGCTAAAAAAATCAGTGGTCATTGATTAAAGAAACAAGTCAAAGTGCCTGTATATACCAAGGATTCTGTATTTGGAGAAGATTGAAAGATGAAGGTCAGCAGCAAAGAGTTTGAAGTGGATTTTGTTAGAAGCATCTATCAATAAAAGAGTGCAGAAATGCCTTTGGATGACTGAAATGTACTGGCAGAGTACTTAGAACTATGTAATATGATCAAGCAGAGTTAGCATGGCTACATGAAGGGGAAATCATGCCTGACACATATACCAGAATACTTTGAGGAGGTAACAAGCAGGATAAATAAAGAGGAAGTATTGGAGGTCATATTTTGGATTTTCAGAATGCATTTGATAAGTTACCACACATTAGACCACTTAATAAAATAAAAGCTCATGGTTTTGGAAGAAGTATACTGACGTGGAGAGAGGTTCAGGTAATAATAGAAAATGGAAAGTTGGGAAAAGGCGGAGGGAGGGGGGCATTGTCAGAACCGGTAACTCATGGAATGCCACAGGAATTGGTGCTGGAGCCACAATTATTTACAATTTATTTTAATGACTTGGATGAGGAAAGTGAATGTACTGGATTAAGTTTGTGGATGATGCAAAACTCGTTGGGCAGGTGAGTGATGCAGATAACATGAGAAGTACA